AATTTCGAGTTTATAATTAGTCTTGACTGGAATTTATTGATCAGACGATGCTGTGTAAAAATTTTCATAATATAAGGCGATAGCATGTCGATATTTAAATATTTCTCTGAACTTTTTGCAGGGTCAAATAAGAATACAATTATTTTGTTTCTCGATTTAACTCAGTTTTAATTAAAAGTGAATTGGGACAAGGAATGAATTAATTTCTACAATAAAATATATATTTACTCCCTTTTGTGATTTTCCATTCGTGAATTTAACGGGGAATCCTATTTTTTATTTATAGCAGAATTTTTGTTTTCGTTAAAAACCATTTTTTCGGAGATTATATACGTTAGGGCCTCCATATTATTCTTTAAGTGAGAAAATTTCTATTTCACTGAAACTTTATTTGACCGAACTTATTTGTGAAATATTATTAACATAAATACAGTGAAAAAATTTTGGTGCAACAGTTATCCCAAACGAAAAATTTATATATTCAGTTAAATTCACTCATATAAAAACTCATGGTAAATGTTATGTATATGAAATTAATTGAATATAGATTGAATTAATTGAATAAACTTTATAAAAAATAACAATATTCGTATTATATTAGCTTTACTTTCTTACTGGCAATTACAAACTTTTCACCCATAACCTTCAATTCGTCCGCCATTTTGGATCTGTAAATTTGAATTTTAAAAATCTGATGTTAGATTCACAGAAAAAACCTGAATTCAAATTGAGTATAGATTCTATACTCAATTTGATTCGCAACAAAAATGAAACTGGTTGTCTCATTTCGAGTTCTAAGGTAAAAGTATCAAAATGAAACAGGCAAGTTTCATTTTGAGAAAAAGAAAAATGGAAAAATATTGTGAAATAACGAATAATTTTGCACAAAAACATGAAATATAATAATTACAAAGAAGTAAATAACACGCTAGACTTAATATATTTGATTAAAAATTGCTTGTAATCGCGTAATAAAATAATAAAGGAAATATGTTTTTAGGTTAGAAAAATTATAATAATATTTATGAAAACATGTGTTTTGACAACAGGAACGGTACTGCCAACTTAAATAATAGCGGTAAATTTAAAAACTTATGAAATTAATTATTATCTACGTAAATAATAATAAATAATTTTTATTTAAAAACTTTTAAATATTCGTACTGGTCAAAATAATCTTTCTGGTGTTGTTGAAATATTAGAAACAATAATTGAAATACAAAATTACTCTGCTTATGATGCCAACTTAGAAATCTGAAATTCCAGCCAATATCATTTTGAATAACATGAAGTTTGTCCCATACTCATTTCGATACCCAAAAGAAAATGAGTTGCAACAAAAATGAGTCCAAGTTTTTTCTGTGTTCGTAATCAGCGACATGAAATATCCTTTAGTAACAAGTTTCAAGCAAATACAATAATTTTTTTAAAAAATTCGTTCGCCATTTTGGATCCGCCATTTTGAATTTTGAAAATCTGGTATCAGATTCGTAATCAGCGACCAAAAAAACCTAAGTATACGGAGTTTTTGATGGGGAAAAAAAATTCTTTCTAATTTTAGTCACTTTTTGTCGATTCTGGCCCACTGTGCTGCCTTCGTATGAAAAAACTTATTTCTTCACAGCGCATAAAGTACGGATTAGATTTTGATTAATTTGTTTATTGTCAAATAAACTCTTATAATATTTAAATATTAGTTTGAATTTGAATATATGCTTCATGTGTAGATAAATAATGAAAACAATTCCAAGACATGGTAAGGACAAGTTTATATAATAGATTGTTCAGTATGTTCGAATTTCCGTTTTCCCTGTTTCTCTCTGTACTGCAGTTCTTCGAGATGTAGTTGCCCTTCACTCTTCATGCGGGCATCCTATTATGCAATTAGAGAGAATATTTGGCTCTAAGGGAGCCAAAAGCCCAAGGTATTATCGTTATCGGACATGACAGGACACGACCGTCCGACACACCCTTTCTTCGTTCAAACTCACAGAACCCGACGATTTACCCCCTCCGATAGACGACTTGCTTATCTCGAAAACATTTCTGCGCCTTGTACCATAAACCATCATTTACCACCTAACATGACATTTCTTCTAATTAACTGCTATTCAATAATTTTTTTTTATCCCGACAATATATTACCTGTATAGACATCAAGTTATTATTTTTTCAAATAAAAAGATATAATTGAACTTCTTTTATTCCAGTTTCCAATAAATATTATATTTATTGAGATATGTGTATATATATATATGTATATATATATAGATTGACGCTTAAATAAAGAATTGATGATATTTATGCTGGACCACAATAGAAATCTTTTTTGCTTTTGATAAATGAAAATAGACTTTTCTTGTTCAAACTTTTATAGACAGAACTTAACTTGATAGGGGCTGTCTCATATCGTGAATCATATAGCTTCTGTTGGATTATTGTCTTGGAATATTGCATGTGCGGGCTAATTCTCTGAAACTTATCGCAATTTACTTATAGTATTGATTTCTACTTCATATATGTACGTTTATTTCAAAATATCGTAAAATTGTATATATATATATATATTTACAAATACATCTCGGTGAATTATTCCAGACATTATTTATCGTTCATTAAAGTAAGAAAACTCGATAATATTTTAATCGGGTCAATTGCAAAAAAAAAAGATGTGAATTGTTTATGAAAAATTTTAGGTTACAGATCTTTATTTTTATTTTTATATTAGTGTGTTTAAATTTAAAAAAAAAATGATATTTAATTAGCCATGGGAATTTAATGATTATAAATTGATTAAATTTAATATTACTCACATAACGTTTGATATAGATGGGCGTTAGAGGAAAGGTTATGGTGAAATTTCTCAAGACGCAAAGATCAAACTGGATGACCTACTACTTAGAGGGGGGTGATTTCTACCCTTCTGCTTCACGTTAATTTAATAGAAGGAACGCGTGTTACACCAAAACGTCCCTTTCTATCCCACCGACTAGATACGCTAACTTGCGAGGGGCGGTTATCAAACGCCCAGTCCCGGACCCTTTAAGATTCAGAATTATCTATCGTTAGACTATCTATGCTAATATCCCACGATTAGTTTGCTGAGTGATGTGGAATTGATCAATTTTATTATTAATAAATTGTAAAGGTCACTACTTAATTATAATAGACTGGAAAAAAAAATTATTATCTATGAAATTTTTTTTTATTATTTTTTGAAATCAAATTTTCCAAGCAAAAAAGTACTTCTATTAACAATTGTGCAAATAATTACACAGATACTTATTTCCATTAAAAATTTAATATTTTGATGACAGGAAAAAGTTCTTGAAATTTTATCATTGATAACACCTTTTTCTCAATATGGAAAATAATATTCATATTCAAGTTAATCTGTCATTTTTCGCAATAAACCACCAGTTTCTTTACCGACTGATGGTCAGGTAGGTTTCTATATTAGTAGCAGTCGGTAATATAGAGACCAAAACGGATATAAAGTTACAAGAGGTAAACATAATTCAATTTTGCTAAGAAAACAAAAAGTAATATAAATGAAAACTCTACTTTACCGACTGCTGGTAATACAGAGACCTTCATTATCATCAGTCGGTAAAGTAGAGTTTTCGTTTATATTACTTTTTGTTTTCTTAGCAAAATTGAATTTTATTTTATATCTTCTTTAAGGAAAAAAATTTGTTCTGTAGTATCAATAAACAATGAAACAGAATTCGAACAAAATAATAAAATCCATTGTATAGCAAATGAATTGGCTCGCCAATTTTTTTTTTTTTTTCGAACGCTTTTAGAAGATTATAATTTTGCTGTCCTAGTCAATTTTTCCCTCTCTCAATTTGTATCGTATAATGAAAGTATTATTATCACTTAAAAAGCCAATATAAAACGACAGAGGTAATAAGCGAAGCAAAAGCCGCTAAACGATATTTTCAAACTGTTATACCCAATTTCCAAGAATTTCACAGATCAGTGTCATCGTAAGTCGACGAAGCTGGTCTTTGGTATGTATTTGTCAGCAGAATTACGCGACCTCGTAAACTGTTTCCTCCCCCTTTATCACCTCCTTTCTCGCGGTTTCTCATCTTCTTCGGCATTCAATTTATAATAACAGGCAGGCGCGGTGATTCAAGACCCAACGCGATGATTCAACCACCCCCCCCCCACCCCTCACACACTTACTGGAATTTTGAGGGAGGAAAGTTACCTTAACGCGTTTATGCAGAAAATAGCTTCTTACACCCCTTGAACATTTTCAAAAGTGCAAGAACTATGTGGTATCTCGATTGTCCTCACACAACTAAAACATGATAAGCTATAACATGTGTATAGTTGTAAGATGGTGTTAAAGTCATCGTTTAAATACGTAAATTTTGGAATAAATTTATAGATGAACTTTATAGACTATTATTTTCATTAAATTCAAAAAGTATTTTTTAGGGAACAGAGTGACAAAAAGAAAAAAAAATTCTACTATTATTATTCTAAATGTGATAATATTTTTAAAAATTGTATCAATTTGAAATTTACTCAAAAAAATGAACGTTTTATGTTTCTTAAAAAAGAAAAAAAGTTTTTAAAACATAAGGGGTCGTCCATATATTACGTCATACATTTTTTTTTTACCTTTTTTGTTCACCCTCCTTCCCCATGTCACACACTATTGCGTACATTAGCGCCATTTTTTCTGCTGGTTGTCACAAATTTACTGACCCCCCCCTCCTCCCCCTTAAAGTATGACGTAATATATGGACGACCCATAAAATATTTCAAACACAAATTTTTTGAATCTGCTCTAAACATTGAATTTAATTGCAAAACGAAAAGTAGGAAAGTAATATAATAACAGGTGCATTACGACCTGTTGCCGTCAGATGGCGGAAGCATGCAATCGCGTTTAGCACAAATTCACACCATCTTTCGGATTTAGGAAATTTATTAGATAATAATGATCCTTGGCATTTAGGTCAATTTTGTAAAAATTGTTCGTGTTTCGAGAAAAATGTATTTTAAAATCAATAATTATTATTTTCACGTTCATTACCGTTTTTATAGGGCGATAATGAAAGGTCTCTTTTTGTCAAAGAATTTCTGAGACCGTTCGACATTATTAATAAAAGAAATTTATTTCCATTTATTGAATATCATTACCTTTCCTTTTTTTTATACTTTATATTCACATTGTCCTGCTATACAGTACTGAAAAATAAAATTATAAACAATCAATTACTAAATACTAATACACATATTTAGGGTTGAGTCTCCTTATTTTTGTCTAAATCTCAAAAAATCGAATTTTTAAAAATTTAAATGTCTTATTGATCGTATTTTCAAATGTTACAATCATCAAAAGTTTCTATTTCTTATATTTTTAAATAACCAAAAAATCGAATTTTTGAAAGTTCATATATTTACAAATGATTAAAGTTTTAAAAGTTCGATTTTTTATTTTATCCAATTCCTAAATGTTTAAATTATTATCAAAAGATGGAAAATTTTAATTAAATGAGTTTACATTCGAATATTTTATATCTCAATATTGCTATATTGATCTTTTGATAATTCGAAATTATAAAAATTCCACCCAGAAAAAAGATTTCTTTATCAAATTTTTTTTTGATACAAAGAAAATTTATTTGTTTTAAACAAATTATCCTTGATTAAAAAAAGAATGTCTTCGTTTCAAAGATTGATGTGTATTTTTTGCAAGAAATATTTTTTTTCATCGTCTGCTTTTTAGTGCCACAATAGAAACCATTTAAATTTACAATTTTCATTAAAAAAAAAAATTATTTTTTTCAAAATTAATATACAAAATATATATAGTAATGTAAGTTTTATTGAGCTTCAAACGTTAACTATCCCATTTTGCCCCGATGTCCCCTAAGTCTGTTTTTTTTTTCAAATGTGAGACAAAATACTGAAATAAAAAAAAAAATAAAAAAAATTCAATTGGTTCAACTATTATATATCTACTACAAATTTTTTTCAAGTTTTTTCATCCCTTAATACAGTAATATATACTTAAGGAAACTTTTTTCTTAAACCTTTCTTAGAAACTATGCTGTCCCAATTTACTCCAAATTTTTTTGAAATTTTCTAAATCTTGGGGTAAATAGAAACAGTCAAATTCATGCGTTTAAAGCTTATCTAAATTTTTTTCTGCTGCATAAAATTAATCCTGGTAATGTCAATAACAACTTAAAAAAAATAAACCCGCAAATATTACCATTTAAAGGAAGAAACTTGAGTAATTTGTGAAAAATAGGGATTTTGTCCCCATTTACTCCAACTGACCCTACTTAATTTTTCCAAATTTTGGATCATTTGTAATTGTAAATTTTTAAAATTCGTTAACTTTTATTATTTCGATAAATTGGTTATTCGACTTTACGGAATTCAATAATTTGAAAATTAGATCAAACAAGGGTAACTCGTTAACATTTCGATATTAAATGCAATAGTTTAACATTTTAGACAGGAAAATTTATAAAATAACATATTTCTTTAAAAACATTGTAGTTATGATGTATGTATTGAAGAAGAAATTTAATTTAATTTTTATTACCATGCCATCACCACAATAAGATCCCTCCGCCGGAGGTTCGTTGTATGTATAGTAAGACATAATTCCCTCATCATTGTACATGTAACAGTATAGATCTAAACAAGTTGTCTTATCCTATGGAATCATATTAAAAATAAAACATAATCATTGATAGATGAAATTATACAAAGTTTTACATTGAAGTTAAAGAAACTTACATATGCACATTGAAGGAATCCCATTTTTTGGCACTGTTCATCTAAAGACATCATTTCACCGGGTAATAATCTCCGTAGCGGATAGTTATTTTCATATTCTGCTGGATTATTTCGAAGGCATGATGATGATTCTTGACTGCAGAAAAATAAAATTTATTATATTCACAGTATTCTTTAAATTTAAATCAGTGTAATTTGCACTGATAAAATAGCTGTAATTTAATAACTGAATTTTTTTGTTTTCAATTTTTTCATTTTCAAAAAATGAAAACTTTTATTTCCAAATTATTGAAGATAAATTTTAATTTAATTTAAATAAATAGTAATTCAAAGTATGTATAAAAATTTGTTAAATTAAAATTGTAAGTCATTGTAAAAATAGAAGGTAATTATTATTATATAATAATAAAATGCTTGGTCTGTCCTTCTGTCCTAACTTGAAATTGGCCTTTTCTGATTTCACGTGTTTTTTTGAATAGTAATCTTATGACGTGTCAAATTTTGACAATTCTTTTTCTCATTTTTGCCAAAGTTGTATAATTGTGTTTCCAAATTTCGGAATAAGTTTCTTTAAAATTCCAAATTCGAAAATTCAATTCACGAAGCTGAAGTACACAACGTTTACCAACGAAATTTTTTTTAAAATTGTATATTCAATCAAAAATTGTATACAAATACAAAAAATTTATGATGAGAAAAAAGATGCGCCAGGAAATTTCGTACAAGATAGTAATTTGAAAAAAATTTATTTTTAAAAATTAATTTTTAAGGTACCAGGGGCCAACGAATACCTATTAAATATTAATTATAAAAACACAGTCCTCGAATCAACTTAAAGACACAAAAAAGTCGTTTTAGTCGATTTATATTCCAAAAAAAAGTGGATTTGTTTTTTATTTTAATAAAAATATTTTACAGATTTTTAAATAAATTTATTTTTTTTTAATAATAATCCTTTTCGAACGGTTAAAGTTGAAATTTTTAGAAATAATTAAATTTCAAAAGATATTGTGAATTTTCAAACAATTATTAAATTTTACAGAACTAATAATAATTTATCAAACAATTTTTGGAAAACATTTTTTAAATTTAATTGAATTTTCAAAGATTTAAAATTGAGATTTTTGAAATTAATTGAAACTTTAAGTGTTTTGTAATTAAAATTTTAGATGATTTCACTAAAAATTTATTAGAAAATGCGGACAAAATACAATAATTTGAAAATCATTTTTAATTGAAAAATGGTTTCAGATAGTTGAATTTTCAAAGAATATTATTAAAATAGTTAAAAATAATTGAATTTCCTTAGAGTTATAATTGAAATTATTAAATTTCAAAAAAAAAAAAATTTCGATGGAAAATTTTAGAAATTTTAGATGCTTTTAAATTCAAATTATTGAAAATTCAATTAATTTTGAATTCAAATTTTTGAGAATAATGAAATTTTATTTGATTTTAACTTTAGAAAATAATTGAATTTCAGTTTAAATTTTGGAAAATAATTATACTTTAGTTGAATTTTAGTTGATTTTGAATTGAAATTTTCGATAATTATTGAATTATAGTAGATTTTGAATTGAAATTTTCGAAAATTATTGAATTGAAAATTTGGAAAATAATTGAATTTTAGTTGATTTTGAATTGAAATTTTCGATAATTATTGAATTTTAGTAGATTTTGAATTGAAAATTTTGAAAATAATTGAATTTTAGTTGATTTTGAATTGAAAATTTTGAAAATAATTGAATTTTAGTTGATTTTGAATTGAAAATTTTCAAAATAATTGAATTTCAATTTAAATTTTAAAAAATAATTGAATTTTAGTTGATTTTGAATTGAAATTTTCGAAAATTATTGAATTTTAGTAGATTTTGAATTGAAAATTTTGAAAATAATTGAATTTTAGTTGATTTTGAATTGAAAATTTTGAAAATAATTGAATTTCAATTTAAATTTCAAAAAATAATTGAATTTTTATTGATTTTAAATTAAAAATTTTTAAAATAATTGAATTTCAGTTCATTTTGAATTGAAAATTTTGGGAAATAATTGAATTTTAATTGAAATTTTGGATAATAATTTAATTTAAGTTCATTTTTGATTGAAAATTTGGATAATTAATTTTGAATAGAAATTTTAGAAAATAATTGAATTTTATTTCATTTTAAATTGAAAACTTGGTTAATAATTAAATTTTAAATTGCAAATTTTAGATAATTAAATTTTAAATTGCAAATTTTAGATAATTATTGGATTTTTAATAGATTTTGAATTAAAATTTCGGATAATATAATTGAATTTTAGTTTATTTTGAATTGAAATTTTTAAAAAATAATTCAATTTTATTGTGATATTTTTTTTTTAAATTATAAACAATTGTTAAATTTCATAAAAATTTTAATTGAAAAATAATTTTGATATAATTGAATTTGTGATGTATTTCATTAAAATTATTAAAAATAATTAATTTAGTGAAGAATCATTTTAGTTCAAAATTTGTTAAATAATTGAATTGAAGATGATCTGAAGAGGATCTACAGTTTATACTAAAAAAATGTATTTTATTTACATTTTTTTCAAATAAAAAAAAAATGTCGCATTTTATTAAAATAAGTCGTTAAAAGTCGTATTTTTGAAAAAAGTCGGAAAAAGTCATATAATCCGAGGCCTGTAAACATATAATTTTCATTATTATTATTTAATATGTAATAATATTCTAATAAATTAAATTATTATTGATAATTAATATTGATAATTTTGCTAGTTAAGTTATAATTTACTTGCAGTTATAGAAAGATTTTTTTCTATTTTAGTATAACAATAATTTCAAAATAAGCAATTTTTTTGTTGGTAATTTTCACGAATTTTTTTTAATGATATTCATAAATTTTTAGCGCACCTTAAAGTATATATTATGTTTTGTTCAGAACAAGGAGAAAAGAAAAACATATTTCGATTATTGTTATTATAACTCATGATGTAACTTTCTTCTTTAAGGCAATTTATAGAACCATATGGAGCACCGTCTTCGGGTTGCTCCTCATCATGTGGTGCACCAAGGCTAAAGAAAAAAAATTTCATATAAAATTTTACTGTATAATAAATATGAAAGTTAAATACAAAAAAAAATTTTTGTATAATATAGATTTATAAATAACTGTTAAAAAATTTATTGAAAATGACGTAAATATAAACAGAGAAGCCAAAAATAATGAAATTATATAGGGTCAGTTGGGGTAAATGGGGACAAGAGGTTTTAGAGCTTAATTTACAATTTTAAAATTAAGTTCAACGTCAATATTTTAACCTCAGATTAGCTGCAAGAAGTTTTTTAGTATTGCCAAGCTTTTATCTTGATAATTGGCAGCAAGATAAAAAAAAGTTATCGCTCAATGCATAAAGACTTGAAATTCAAAGTCAAACTGTTTCAGTATTTTGTCTCACATTTCAAAGAAAATAGACTTAAAAATCATACAAAATTTTTTTCTTATTCCTTATGACTCCTATAACAAAAATTCACTTGAATTTTTGATTTTTGTCAATTTGGTTAATAATGACAAGCTGTCCTTATTTACCCTGAGTTTTCAAATTTTTGGGGTAAATGGGTACAGCTTGTTATTATTAACCAAATTGACAAAAATAAAAAATTCAAGTTAATTTCTGTTATGGGAGTCATGAGGAATAAGAAAAAAATTTGGTATGATTTTTAAGTCTATTTTTTCAAATGCGAGATAAAATACTGAAATAAAAAATAAAATAAAAAATAAACCCGCAAATATTATCATTTAAAGGAAGAAACTTACGTAGTTTGTGAAAAATATCGATTTTGTCCCTATTTACCCCAATTGACCCTACATGGGGAATTTTACGTGAAGTGATCGTAGGAGAAAAAATGAGAAATTTTTTTTTCTTTTAAATATTAAAATTATAGCTAAAGTGACGTCTGTTCAAGGAGTCAAAATAGATTTAAAATTTTAAACATAACCTTAAAATTCAAGGTCATAGGTCCAGAGACCGTTGAGTTTGACGCTATGTCCGATATAATCAAATAACTTCAAATTCCCCTAACCAAGAAACGAACATAACTTAAAAATTTAAATAAAATTTTAATAATTTTAATCCCTGTTGTGAACATGTAAAGAATTATTTTCTGATGAAAATATATCGTGAATCATTTAAATAAGATTATTTTTTAAAAAAAATTTGAAAAACGATATGAAAAAAATGTTGATCATTCGTAAAATATAGAAATAAATAAATTTTGTAGGTACATTGTAAAAATTTTGGTTCAGCAGCTGCCCGAAACGAAAAATTTCTATTTTCAATTAACTTTATACTTAATATTTACCATAAGTATTTTATGAGTGAAGTTAATTGAATATAGAAATTTTTCTTTTAGGGCAGCTGCTGCACCAACATTTTTTCAATGTATGTTAAATTTTTTTTTGAAATTAAGTATCTGTTCTTTCAGCAGATATTATTAACAAAAATATTTTTATTTTTTAAATGTTAATTAATCATAGGTAAAATGAATGTAAATAAAATATGCAGTTCTTACATGTGACCTAATTCGTGAGCAGCAGTTAAAAGGTATTTATAATCATTATCATCGATAACTATTCCAGAAGAATAGTATTTTCCGTTGTTATAATCCGACTGGTCATAACTATCAAAACATGGTGATCCCAGATTCGCTATACCTTTAATAAAGCGTTATATATATATATATATAGTTTGAATAATAATTTATATTGCACACTTAATTTTTGAAAAACTGAAAAAAAATTAAATCTATAGGTACGACTGATTGTTCAAAATTATAAAAAAAGTTTAAAAAAAGTAGTCGATGAAAAATTTTAAAAATTAATTTGTTAATTAATCAATTTTTTTTCTAAATTTTCATATTGCAATATTATTTTATTCTTTTTAAAAAAGTCGAATAATAAATTGACTGAATCAAATAAATCCCGTGGAGAAGTTTCCCTAAGTTTCCTTATCGAAAACTAAAATTTGGTAAGTTTCTGATAGGGAAAAATGCAGAATTCTGGTTAGATCCTGACGTTTTTGGTGACGCTTGTTTTTCTCAAAAATTAGTTTTAATGGTTAATAGTGAGAAGAATAACAAGAACCCTACGATTGCCCTATGAGAACTTTCAATTTAACTTTTATTTAACTTTCAATTTTTGATTAATTATAATTTCAGGTTATATTACTATATTATTCTTTATAAAAAATATAATTAAACTGTAAAAAGAAAATTTGTAGTTTATATAATTCATTAGAAAATATAATGAATTTAAATTATTAAGAATGTGAAAATAATTTTAAATATGTAACAATCAATTCGAAGATATTAAAAAATAAAAATGTCTTATTTAATGGTAAAATCTCCTTGAACTTTGAGAAATTATTTTGTATGATGTTTTTGTAATACAAAAATTATTTTATTAAACGTTAATATATTACCAAATAGGGTATAAATGCTCCAGTCATTGACACTTTCTCAGTGGTTGGCACCCTGCTTGTTTTTTTAAATAAAAAGTAGTACTTATTTCAATACTCGATTGTTGTAATAAATGTTGTAAAATTTAATAATCGTCTGCAAAATATGCTAGTTTTTTCGTATTGCTTAATATTATAGAAGGCCGCCAATGACTGAGGCAATTATACCTTATAGTAAAGAAAAAAAATATTTTTCTTGACAAAAACAATAAAATATTTTGTTTATAATTTTCTCTTTTACAAATTATTGATCGAAAAATTAAGTAAAATAGTTTTTATGCAAAAATATGTAAACATTTAAATAGAAAAATATTTGTTCTTCTAAATCGTTGATTAGAAACGTTGTGAACCTCACTAAAGTAATCTATTAATTATTAGACTAACTATTTGATTTCAGCACATGCACAAAATAACAATATTCCTGGTAGCACAATATGAAAATCTTAATTGTAAGTTTCGTGTTAAAATGATACTGGTCCAAATTTTCTACTATTTATAATAAATAATATAACCTTAAATTATCATTCAATAAAAATGATAGTAAGTTGAAAGTAATCGAAAAACGGTCGTAGGGTTCTTGTAGGGTTCTCACTATTGGGTACTATGAATCATTTTTATAAAAAATCAAGCGTCACAAGAAACCTCTGGGCCTAATCAGAAATCCGCATTTTTCCACGTCAGAATCATATACAAATAATAGGGAAATATTACAAGGCCCTTACGATTTCCCTATTTAAGTTTCTCCTATTTTTTTTAAATCAACGAATTTTTTTTTTTAATTATTAAATTATTTTAAACACTACTATAATTCTGAATAAAAAGAATTTATTTACCTGTTGCTTCTCTATTTTCATTAATCGTATACAATTTTCTTGCAGTCATATACATAGATATATCATAATCCTTGATTGGTTGAATGATATTGTCCTTATGCAAAAAACTAGCAAATTCTTGTCGTAATACCTCTGCATCACACATTTCGTTTGAATATAAAGTTGGATAGACAAACGGTGGTGTATTCTTTAACATACAAATGTAATTAATAAATTTTAGAAAAATTTTTATTATATTAAAAAATTAAATATTTAATAAATAAAAATATTAATTAAAGTTACAACTAATTAAGTCTTTTCTAAATATGCTTTGAATCTTATTGTTTTTTTTTTTTTTGAATGGTACAAACGAAAATTAGATTCAAATAAATATTTTTCAATACATATGCAACATACCTCAAATAATACTATTCCGGAAATATAGAGGCGAATCATTGGTTTTTGAAATTGTCTGAATCTTAAATCAACTCCATTCCAGTAACTTAAAGTATATTCTACCGCTTTCATCATATCATAATTAAATTTTCTGCAATTAAAAAAAAGTTATCAATAAGTATAAGTTATTATCAAGTTATCTATAAAAGGGGTGATAAATAATGAAAATTGCGACAAAAGTTTAAATGTTTAGTTTTTGAATTTCCCATAATATATTACAGTTTTAAATACTTAATATTGTTAAAAAAAAGAAAAAAAAATTAACAACCTTAAATAGTCTTAATTTTGAAAGGTTGAAATTTTAGCGCTCCCTCCCCTTAAAGCAGTAGCACAAAGACGCTATTTTGAATTTTGATGTATCGCATATTTATTTTTATTGATTAGAATTTTGGGCAGAGCTCTGGGCCGATTGACGTGAAACATTCCAAAAATATTTTTAATTTTCAAAAAAAACGGTAAATTTTGAATCTTTTAGAAAAAATTTTGCACCATTTAAAAAAGCAGGAAAAATACCTTCCCTAATAACACAAGATATCTTGGGATATATTGATAATATCCCGCAGATATCCTAGGGATGTCCTATGGATATCAAAAGGATCTCTTAAGGATATCCAAAAAATCGACGGTTTGGATATCCTTTGGATATCCCATGGATATCTGAGGATATCAACAGGATATCTTCTGGATATCTCTATAGACTTTCATAAATGTCCTCCAGATATCCCATAGATATCGTCACACGGAGAGACCGCCGGTTGGAAAAATTACTAAAAAGATTTACAAGTAGCGGAAATAAGGTTACTTTGTCATATATTGCTGTAGGAAATCGAAAATTCTATTAGCAGTATACTTAATAAAACCTGTATACTATAGTAAAATTGCACACAAATTGGAATAGAAATTACTATAGTCTACAGTTTTATTAAGTATGCTGCTAGTAGAATTTTCGATTTCCTATAGCAATATTTGACAATGTAACCTTATTTCCGCTACTTGTAAATTTTTTTAGTAATTTTTCTAACCGGCGGTCTCTCCGTGCAGGATATCCCACAGATATCATCAGGATATCCCACAAATATCATCAGGATATCCCACAAATATTTTCAGGATATTCTCAGTATATCTTCTGGGTGTCAAGAAGATATTCTCAGGATACTGTTTTTAAAGTAATTATCAGACTACGAGTGAGAATATTCTGTAAATTAAATTTTATATAAATAAAATAAAATGCAACTTGTTTTTCGAGAAAGTTGTTTAATTTGAAAAATTATTAACTAATTTTTTTCTCATTCGTGATTCATTCCTTTATTCATATGCTTAATATTGTCAGAAAATAAATTGGCTTTAAACAATATAAATTCTTCCCCGCAAATAACGAATAACTATTAATATTAATTATACATTAAGTGCGTGAGTTTATTTAAAAACTTTGAAAAATGCGTTTCAAATCTTCATTTAAAATAAATTAGAAGCTCATAAGATTTTTGTTTTTATTATATTATTATTCATTATATTAGCTTAACAATTTTAACCTTTAAAAATATATGTTGAGATATTAAATATCCCGTGAATATCCTAAGAATATCCCACAGACATCCTGAGGATATATCATGGATATCCAGCGATATAATATCCAATAGATATTTTGTGGATGTCTTAGGGATATCCTGTGGATATCCTATGGATGTTCTGTTGATGTTCCACAGACCAGCGGTTTGGATATCCTATGGATATCCCAAGATATCCTGGGGACCATTCTAGGATATCGACCATTGATATGGATATCCTAGGGATATCCTTTTGTTATGAGGGTTTGGAAATCATATAGGTCAAAACTAAAGGATGAATATGAACATAAATAGTACTCACGCGAAAATTAATTCGTCTACATAAACCAAAATTTCCGGATAAACTATACTTGGTGTCCAGTATACATCCCTTCGGGATACACTCTTAGTTTTCATTAATTTATCATTGAACACTTTAGGCGTAGAAAATGCTAAACAAATGATATATATGTGCCATTCCAGGAGTTTTTTAGCACTTTTTGGAGTAACCTTTCCAAATTAAATGAAACATTTTTTTAATAATATTTATTAATATAAAGGTCCAAAAAATCACTTTTTAAGTAAAAATAATTGTTTATTTAAAAAATACAACAATAAATAATGCAAAAAATTCACTTTTTTCCTGCAACTCAAAATAAATTGGTTTAAAGATCAAAATTTTCCTTATTTTTCAAGCTTTAATACCGCACAAGAAACATAGAGTCCGAGAAAATATTCAACTCACAATTTTTTAAACAATGTTTGTTTACTTTTTTGTATTTTATTTACTGTGAAACGTCTGCTAAAGCTGCGCGCGACGTTTGGAAGTTGTCGCTTTCCTTATTGAGCAGAAGCTCATTACACTAGCGTAGTAGAAAGCATGTTGTGCGAAAAGTGAGGTTATGTTGTCATTAAACGAAACGTAAAAATTTCTGGTTATCACATTGAATGCTTTTTAATTATCTACTTTGCAGTAAAAAATCATAAAAAACATTTTTGAAGGATGAAAAACCTCACTTTTCACACAACATGTTTTCTACTACGCTAGTGTAATGAGCTTCTGCTCAATAAGGAAAGCGACAACTTCCAAACGTCGCGCGCAGCTTTAGCAGACGTTTCACAGTAAATAAAATACAAAAAAGTAAACAAACATTGTTTAAAAAATTGTGAGTTGAATATTTTCTCGGACTCAATGTTTCTTGTGCGGTATTGAAGCTTGAAAGATAAGGAAAATTTTGATCTTTAAACCAATTTATTTGGAGTTGCAGGAAAAAAGTGAATTTTTTGCATTATTTATTGTTGTATTTTTTAAATAAACAATTGTTTTTACTTAAAAAGTGATTTTTTTGGACCTTTATATTAATAAATATTATTAAAAAAATGTTTCATTTAATTTGGAAAGGTTACTCCGAAAAGTGTTAAAAAACTCCTGGAATGGCACATATATATATATATGGTGAATTCACGTGAGATTTTAGTCAACCCTTTAAAATCGGCCAAATATATTTTTTTCTTGTTCTGTAGTATAGAAAAAGAGATACATATTTTTATGTTTATTTAAACCTATAAAGCTTATCGGCCCAATCTAAACTTTTTTGCATAATCTTTTTAATATTTCCAGGTATGTTTAAAAAAAAACACAAATTAAAAAAAACTTAATAAGTTTATAAAAATTGTTATTTTTTTTTTTAAATAAAAAATGAAAAAAAAATTTTTCGTTAATATTATTAAAAAGTAAAAAAAAAACTGAAACTTTTCTTCTCTTGGCAAAAATTGAAAAAATCCAGTTTTTTCGAGTTATCAGCTATTGAAAATAGGTTTACATTTACAAAACGGAAATTTTGAAAATTCATAACTCAAAAATTTGTCAAAAGAAAAAAAATACGTATCTTTTTCTTCACTACAGAACAAGAAAAAAATATATTTGTCCGATTTTAAAGGGTCGACTGAAATCTCACGTGAAATCACCCAAATGTGATCCATTGCGAAGAAAGCAAAAAATTATAGGTTATGTTTTGAAATTTTTAAGTAAAAATACACATCTTCGGTTTTTTTTGTTTATTGGGTAAAATATGCAAAATTTAAAAAAAAAAAAAAACTTTAAAAAAAAGTAGTAGATATTGTTGAAATATATATTTTTTTATCTTATGCAATTTTTGAAAATTTTGCATATTATACCCAATAAATTTTAGTAAACAAAAAAAAACAAAAATTTTATGACTTTTTTATGGTTTTTCTCATAAAAATCAAGTTTTTGAGTATTGTCACTATGATTTTCGTAATCAGCGCATCAAAATATATGAAAATTCAAAATTTCCAAAATTTAAAAAAATTCCGAAAATATTGCAAAAATCATTTTCCCACAATCGAACTATAGGCTTAAAATTTTTGTAAAAAGAAATAGTTTTTTTTTTTGAAAAAAATCGTAGGATACACATGTAAAAGAAAGTTTCTTTAACGTGATTGAAATTAAAATATTTCTATGCTCATTTGGTAAATAAAATATCCCACTACCACATGAAATTGTATACTTATTCACGAATTTTATAGAATATTATGTATTAGGGTTAGTCCACTGACTTTCGTCTAATAGTGGTTGCGACCAAATTTTAAAAAAATCTAGTTTTAATATATATATGTGAAACTCGATGATTCCCTGAGTTCATTAACCATAATATTATGGTTAAAATTTTATTCCCTTTAAAAATATTAAATATCAAAAGTAGGAGGTTCACAATGTGATTTTGTAACCTTAAATTTTTCAATTTTTTTAAAAACGCTATTATTAAAAAACTATTAAAAATTAGATGTTGGAACTCACCAAAAACATAAATCACTTTATTCTGCACAGAGGAACGAAAGAATTATTGCAAAAATTTATTATTTTTGGATGATATACGATTTTTAAAAAAATTTTATTTAAATATTCTCAGGATTTTTATTTACTTATAACTTTTTTGTCGGTGCTCCGAAAAAATTGAGGTTTCGCACAAATATTTTTTATAATATTCTTTACCTTCTATTAAAATCTTACGAAGGTGTTCTGCTTCGATTTGGAGATATAATTTTCAAAATTTTTTATTTAAAAAGGTTAATTAAAAGACTTGAAGTTAACTAACAACATTCAAACTGCTCCATTTTTTATAAAAATATATTAAAATGTAGCGATTTGAAATTGGTCAGTTAACTTCAAGTCTTTTAATTAACCTTTTTAAATAAAAAATTTTGAAAATTAATATCTTCAAAACGAAGCAAAACACCTTCGTAAGATTTTAAAAGAAGGTAAAGAATATTATAAAAAATCTTTGTGCAAAACCTCAATTTTTTCGGAGCACCGACAAAAAAGTTATAAGTAAATAAAAATCTTGAGAATATTTAAATAAAATTTTTTTTAAAATCGTATATCATCCAAAAATAATAAATTTTTGCAATAATTCTTTCGTTCCTCTATGCAGAATAAAGTGATTTATGTTTTTGGTGAGTTCCAACATCTAATTTTTAATAGTTTTTTAATAATAGCGTTTTTAAAAAAATTGAAAAATTTAAGGTTACAAAATCACATTGTGAACCTCCTACTTTTGATATTTAATATTTTTAAAGGGAATAAAATTTTTATCATAATATTATGGTTAATGAACTCAGGGAATCATCGAGTTTCACATAATATTAAAACTATATTTTTTTAAAATTTGGTCGCAACCACTATTAGACGAAAGTCAGTGGACTAACCCATTAATATACGAATTAAAAATATTCGTTTTTAATTTATTTGTTTTATACATATGAAATACTTACGGATAGAATTATCAAACGTTTGTTTATAAATTATATGTTCATCAGTATTTATGAAACCTTTGGCATTATTTTCAAAAAATGATGAATTTATTTTCAACAGATCGCGACGTTTGCCAAGATGATCGGGCAAGGGACGTAAAATGTGGGTGTTATTGATGTTTCCAGTCTAAAATAGGGATAAAACAAAATTTTATTTAGAAGTATATATATATATGTATATATTTTATATAAATGCTTATAAATGGAAAAGTAATGTTTAAGTTTATGTTTAGGTATTTGCTTATTAAATAATGAAAAAAAAATTATTTTTAATTTCTCTTTTTAGATATAGTGTTGAAGCTCAAGGTATAAGCTTTAAAATAAATAATTTTTGATCCTTGTATTTTTACTGGAAACGAAAATATAAAATTTTTGTAATGCCTTTCCTGCTGTAGAATGGGGAAATCTTGTTGAGCAAGAGTGTAAATTTATACTGGGTGAAAATTTCCCAACTGGGCCACCTAAAACTGACTTTTCAAATTTAAAATATTTTTTTTTCATAATATATTGCAGGAAGCCGAATGAAAAATATTCCTGAAATGCGTTTTTAAAAAAATTAATTTTTTTAATTATTTATTAACAATTGAATATTTTGTTAGCTTTCCACTACATTTGCAATTACTCTGTTGCTTGTTAATGAAATTTAATAAAATTTGGTGAGCATATAGAAAAATTATTTCTCTTTGAAATGCAATAGAAATTTCAATTAATCTTTATTGTTTATGCAAAAAAAATTGATATCAAGTTTTTTCTTTATTTTATTATTTAACAATCATATAACTTTTCATTACAACTGGTTTCTGAGAATTTTCTTAAAAAACCGAATATTTATTGAATTATTTTGCAAGTAACAGAATTATTATCACTAGAGAAAATTATACATTCCAATGTAAAATTTTCTCTAGTGATACTAATTTATACTAATACTAATTTGGATAAATAAAAATTTATTTTAGCGAAAATTTAATTTAATATGAATTTGGTTAAATAAAAATAAGGCTTTAATAAAAATTCGATTAAATGAAAATTCTGATATTAAAAAATTTGGTTCTACGTTAAATTAATTTTCTAAAATTCAAACTTAGTACACATTGAGTGTTCCAATTAATTTTTTTTCAATGAAATAACAAATTCATAAAATTAAATTTGTTGTTATAAATATAAGAACAAATTTAATTTAATTTTAATTAATTTTAACAATTAATAATTAATTTATAATAATTTAATAATTTAATTTATAATTTAAAAAAATTTTATTTCTTATAAATATAAGAACAAATTTAATTTTATGAATTTGTTATTTCATCGAAAAGATTTTAATTTGGACGCTCAATGTGTACAAAGTTTGAATTTTAGAAAATTAATTTACCATAGAAACAAATTTTTCAATAGCAGAATTTTTATTTAACCGAATTTTTATTTAAAAAAATTTTTATTTAACCGAATTTTTTTTAATAGAATTGTTATTAAAGCGCTTGCTTTTTTTTAAATTAAAGTTGAGAAAGTGTAGATTTATGTCGTTTTTGAAATTTCTTCCTAAAAATATGAGAAATAGTTTAAATATTCATTTGTTTATTAAATAAACAATTTTTTTTGCATAAACAATAAAGATTAATTGAAATTTCTATTGCATTTTAAAGAGACATAATTTTTCTATATGCTCACCAAATTTTATTAAATTTCATTAACAAGCAACAGAGTAATTGCAAATTTAGTGGAAAGCTAACAAAATATTCAATAATTGTTAATAAATAATTAAAAAATTAATTTTTTTAAAAACGCATTTTAGGAATATTTTTCATTCGGCTTCCTGCAATATATTATGAAAAAAAAATATTTTAAATTTGAAAAGTCAGTTTTAGGTGGCCCAGTTGGGAAATTTTCACCCTACTTACAAATGTGAATCTGCCAGATGTATCAACACTCTGTGCAATTGATGAAAACGTATCTGGATCTTGATAAAAATTCATAACTAACTGATTCATCACCTAAAATCATATTGTGATTATGGCAATCTAAATTTTTAAATATATGTGACTCAAAGAAATTATCAAGAAATACTATATGTTAATAAGGATTTTATAATACATATACCTCTTCCTGATAAGAAAACTGAACATGATCGTTTTCATTCTTGGCAGTGTAAACTTTTGTGTTTGTGCCTGCAATGAAACCGTCAGTAGGATTCAAATAAAATTTAATCTGTTCTCCTCTTGTCATCATTTCAATCGTTAATCCGTTATTGGCTTGTCTTTTGTGACGAATTGACACAACCTCATAGTTTGATACTAGATAATTTAATTAAAATTTTAATATATTAATATAATGCTACAAAAAATAGCAAAATATAATACCAAAAATGGGAACATTGAATTTTTTTGAAAAATTGTAAGATTGTAATAAAAATCTTATGTGAAATGCCCCATACAGGTTTAATATTTTTTTTTATATTGAAAAATAAAATAAAATTATTTAAATTCATATAATTACCATCATCGATATTAAATGATTGAGTGAAGGACACAAAAATAATGCAAAATGATATCATGAAGTAATACATCTGCAAATATAAAAATTTTTATTAATAAATAACTTATAATACTAATTAAAATTACTTTAGTTATTTACATATTGTGCATGTATGGCTCAAAATTTCTGAAATGGGCCACTAATTTTTTACGTTTTTTTTTTCTTTTTTTTTATCGTTTCTCAAAAGTGAAACTTTATGCACGTATTGTATAAAATATTCTAAAATAAAAATTGTATTCACTAAAAACTGTCAATGGATATAATAGCCCCGGGGATGGTATAATTACCCCGGTTGACAGTAAATCTTTCTGAAATTTTTAACATAGTTTATTGAAGTAAAAAGGGTTCAGTAAATAAATTTATAATTTTATAAACAGTTTATCAAAATTAAAGTAAAAGAATAAATCACATCTTACCATTTTTATGCAGTGTTGAACTTCACTGTTAAAAATTTGAATTTTGACTAATTTTATTTGACATCGTTGCTTATATATATGTATATATACGGAGAGAGAAAATGAATTCTTTATTATTTTCCAGTGATAAGATTATTTCCTTAAATAATTAAATATTCATTATTTATCTATAAATTTCAATTACAATTTATATTAGGGTGATTCTCCGCGTAGCACAAGATTTGGTGTCTGAAACTAAAAATAATTTTTTATCGAAATGATAAATATCAATACATATTTTTGAAGATAAAGTGTCAAGAAATAAATATCCATGGTGGACCGGAAAATTTTTTTATAATTTTTAAACAAATTAAAAAAAAATTCTTTGCTTTTTGAATTCTATAAAATAGTTGAAATTTGATTTAAAATGTTTATAGAAATTTAATTTACAAAAATAAATATAGCGCGAACGACAATTAAAAAATTTTTTTTCGGTAATTTACGGAAATTTTTGAGGTAATTTATGGAAATTTATATAAATTTTGGCTATAATTCATAAAAATATGTTAAGCATAAATCGCAATTAAAAATTTTTATTTCGGTAATTTATGAAAATTTTCGCAGTAATTTACAAAAATATACATATATAGCGCGAACGACAATTAAAAATTTTATTTCGGTAATTTATGGAAATTTATGCGGTAATTTATAGAAATTTATTTGATAAGTTATAGTAAACTTACCGGAGCTATGATAGTTTATAATAAATATTTTGAATTTCATATTTTGTTTCATTGTGTATTAAACTTGGACTATAGTGACGGTCGAAATTTTGTGGCGGGTGGAGACGCTGGGGTCGGTCTAACCGGTGGAACTGATGTTAATAATTTTTTTTTTTTAATAAAAAAATAATATAAAATAATATAAATAAAATAATATAACTACACTTTATTTAACTTTTATTATTTAATTATAGTCTATTTTTTTTTTTTTTATTGAAGGGTCGATGGATGCCGGTGGAGACGATTTTGTGATGCCCTGTACAAATTTGAATCTTAAAATGTGTAAAAAAGGATAAATCAATTAGAAAATTGATTATTTTCTTCATAGATCAACTTAAGGAATATAACTTTTGCTGTTACTGAAATAGAACTATATTAACATTTGACTTTTATTTATATAATTCAATGTTTAATAATAAAACGCAGAATAACACACAAAAGTGCAGTCAAATATAAATAGCAAAAAAAGAAAATAATTATGTTTTTGATCAAACGTTTTTTTTATTCAATTCCACTACAATATACAATACTAAAATAGCAACAGAAATTGTATTTATTAGTACACTTTTTTTTCTAAAAATATTAACTTTTTTGTTTAAACATCCTGTGGGGACAGGTGAAATTTTGACGTTTTCAGCCATAAAAACCACTTTTTTCGAAAAATTATAATGTTAAATACAAAAGTAACTATTGGTTTTTGTTTGTAATCACAGAAATTACCTTTTTACATTGGAATCGAAATATTATGTGAACATTTTTTTTTGTGATCTTTCTTTCACAACATGGAAAAAAGCAAGTTGTGCGCTAGCCCGGACAGCACCGAAACTTCCCTGAACCTTGACTGAACTTCGCTTGACGAGGTTCGGGAACTTTAGTCGCGAGGTCCAAACGAGGTTGAGTTGATGTTTAAATGTCCGCGCATAATAAAGGTCAGTTACAGAGGTTGGCTGAATATTGGATTTGAATTTCTGTTAAATATTAAAATTAAAGATTCTTGGTATATTCTGAGGGGATATTTAAGGAAATTCAAGATTTGTTAAATATAATCGTTAAATATTCTTGAATTTTAGAAGAAGCATAAATACGGAACTCGATACGGAAAAATAAAAAGAAAGCAAATGAATTTAAAAACCCGATGGGAATAATTAATAATTAAATTATGTAAAATAAAAAAATGGTCATCAAAGTATTAGTGAAACCATTTGTTCCAAAAAAGAATTTGTCTCAATTCTCAAATCCAATAATTAGGAGAGACATCGGGCAGAAAAAAATATTTCGACAACAAAAAAAATTTCGATCGCTGCTTATATACCAATTTAATGGCACCTCAACTGCGAGAAACAGTTATGATGTTCGCCCTCCGTGTGGCGTTGAGCAAACTAAAGTCCAGAGCTGAGCCATCAGCGCAGCGCGGGAACATTTGACAAATTTGATTTTATTAGATATTTTATTTTAAATATGACAAATAATTAACTTAATAAATAATTATTAATAACATAATGTCATACTTAATAATTCGTTAATTAATTATTTTTAACGAAAACTTGACAAAAAAAACAAGAAGGGGGTCCTTTATGTTTATTTCATAAACATTATGCTTCCTCATTATGTGAAGCAAAAAATTCGCTTCCTCGTGAAGGAAGCAATGAATTTGTCCAATTCAATTGATTGATTTAAAAAATTTCGAGTTAAAAATGTTTTAAATTAATTAAATTTTTTGAAAAATAAAGAAAATTTTAATTAATATTGAGTGTAACATAAACTTTATACATACGAATCGATTCGTTTTAATGCAAGGAATACAATTATTTTATTCATCAACTTGAATTTTAAAAAAACACAAAATTTTTTAGCTAAAATATGAATTTTCAATTTTTCAATTTTTATTAATTCTCAAATTTTCAATCAAATCTATACTTTATATATACCAACCAATTCGTTTCAATGCAGGAAATAATAAAATTATTTCATATATAAACATGAATTTAAATAAACACATCATTTTTTAGCTAAAATGAGAATTTTTGATTTTTTAACTTTCATTAATTCTTTAAATTTCAATCAAATCTATATTTTATATATATCAATCGATTCATCTTGACATAAAGAAGACGATTATATTATATATTACCTTAAATTTTTCGATTTAAAAATTTTTTCAATTAAAAAAAAATTTTTGGAAAAAAGACGATAAAATTTTTTTTTGGGTATTTTTAAAAATCCTCTCGTCATTTTTGAGAGATTAATGTGTTAAATAAGCCTACCAAATTTTACCCAAATCCATTAAAACCTGTTAAAGATATCGTGTTCACAAAAACTATCCACACACACATACACACACACACACATACACATACATACATCCGGACAATTCTTTCTTTTTGTTTAAATGGCCTCTTGTATTAACAGGTAGCCAGTACAAAATGTTAATCCGGGTATAGTTACGTAGTCAAACGTAAATATATTGTTGTTGTCGTAGTTCAGCTTTAGGGTGGGTTCATTTCAAATTTGGTCTCCTCACTTCCCAGTCTATATAATGGTTTGATATCTTGAGTTGTGAATTGAATTTAAAAGTTGCTCAGGTTTAGGATTGTATGGATGGGATAAGGTTTGAATTTGAATTTTGAGTTTACATGACTTAGATTCAATTCAATAGACAGTAACTTATATTTAAATTTATTATTTGTTAAACTGTTTTATTTTCTTTTTCCTTTCACCTCCCTCCTCTCTTCCTCACCTTACTTAAATTAGTTAATTTATCGCAACTATATATTTACTTAATAGAAATTTAATTGTTCACTTAACTACACAATCACTTTACCCAAGGCGAAGAATCTACCAATTTCTATTGTAACTTCTTGATTAGGATTAAAAATCAATTCATCCAAATTTATGTCATGTGGATTAAAGTCTGGAATTTTAAGTGCTAAGAATGTGAAAAAGTTAGGTCTGCCAGAAGACAATATGGGGCAGAAACTCAATAAATGTTTGAGATCTTTATGTTCGGCCCCACAATCGCAACCAGGAGGAATGTTCCATCCCATCCTATTGAAGTGATCATCAGTACAGATGTGGGAAGTCCTCAGCCTAGTCACAGTGTTGATGTATCTCCTAGCCGCATCAATGCCCCGGAACCAAGGTCTTTTACTTTTGTAGCCCACTCTCAGGTAGTATTTGTTTCGTGATTGTGTACAGTCGGTGTATGGCCAAATCATTCTCTTCCAGGAATCAAGGTCTTTTTTAAAAACAGGTAATAGGTCACGGGGGGGTACACCGGAAAATTTACCAAATTGGAAATCCAATGTTTCTTTCGCTAGTCTGTCTGCTATATTATTGCCCTTAATTCCGACATGAGAAGGTATCCAGAGAAAACGAATTTGGCAACCGGTTGCCATCAGTTGAACAATCATTCTAGTGATCTTGATTATAAATGGGTGAGGGTTAGAGACAAACATTCTTTCCTTTAAATCTCGCAGAGATCCTCGAGAATCAGAAATGACAAGCACATTGTCAAGGCTTGTTTGAAGGGAATACTTTAATGCCGAGAAAATTGCATATAATTCAGCCGATTCAATGGACATCAGACCACTCAAGCGAACTCCAAACTTAACATTCAAAAGGGGTATGACGTAGCTGGCTCCAGAAAGTCCTCTTTTCGGGTCATTCGAACCGTCAGTGAAGATTTGTATGTAATCCGGGTATTCACGTTCGACAAATGTCTCAAATGCTCCGCCCGGATTAGAATCAACCCTTATTTCCAGACCCGAATCAATATCTACGAGAATCGGGATAGTCAGCTCCTCCCATGTAAAATCGAAAGTAGAAGGCTTAATTGATCTAGTACATCTGTGAGTCATGTTATTCAACTCGCGAAATGAATCCAATAGTGAAAATTTCAATGAGGAGATATTATTTCGGTACCGTTTGTCTAATATACATTTCTCAGAAAGCAATTGTAACTTAGGAATCAGGGGGTTCAAAGACCAAGAAAAATTCCTTATCATGTGTTTCCGACACAAGGTGGAACGTCTTAAATGTAGCGGAGGCTCATCCGATTCGGACATTAAGATACTGATAGGGGTTGACCTCATGCATCCCAATATTGTTCGGAGGGCTAGTGATTGTACTTTGTCAAGCTTTTCTAAATTAGACTGAGAGGCAGAAGAAAACAGCTGACAGCCCCATTCCAGATGCGATCTAACCAGTCCCCTATAGACCATCAACATAACAGTTGGGTTCGCTCCCCATGATATCCTAGACATTGCTTTAATTATGTTGATTGCTTTAGTAGCCTTTTTGACAAGATCGTGGATATGCAAGGACCAAGTCAGTCGTCGGTCCAAGTGGATTCCGAGGTAGACCAGCTCGTCCTGCATTTTGATTTTGTTATTATCGATTTTAAGAAAAACGTTATTACTTTTTTCTCGAGATTTAGAGAAAAGTGCAAGTTGTGATTTATTAGGAGCGATGGACAGGCCTACTTCAGCAAGCCATGGAGACAAGGTAGCAACTGCAATTTCAAGGGTATCTACTGCGTCTTGAATATTATCCGAACTGACGTACAAAAGTAAATCGTCAGCAAACATCAGGCGATTGATTGATTTAGGTAGAACATTGTCAATTTTACTGATTGCCAAATTGAAAAGAAGAGGAGACAAGACACCTCCCTGTGGTACACCTATATAGGAGACTTTGTAGTTGGAATTGTCTGAGGCGAAAAACAAATTTTTTGAAGCTATAAGAAATGATACAAAATTAACTATCCTGTCAGGAACTCTAAGCTCTACTAATCGATTGTAAATGGCCAATGGCAAAATATTACTAAAAGCTCCAACCAAATCGACAGCCAAGGCGACCGTATGTTTTCCCTTTAAAAAACTATCCTGTATATCGGTGACAAAAACAGAGACACAGTCAGTGGTGGAACGTCCCTTGCGGAAACCATACTGCATCAATGGCACACCTCCAACCGACTCAATATAGTGTTCGAGTCTTTTCTGGACCATTCTTTCAAATAATTTACTTACGGCCGATGTCAAGGAGATTGGTCGATAACCTTTTCCCTCGGGTTTCGGGATAAAGACGACTCTGGAATTTCTCCAGGTCGCTGGGTAAACAGACGAGAGAAAAAAACCATTAAAAATGGTAAGGAACAAATTCCGGGCGCGTGGAGGTAAATGACGTAAGATTGAATTAGAGATGGAATCTAGGCCCGGAGCTGAGTCTTTTTTGTTACTCATTAATGCAATATTGAGTTCAGTGATAGAGAAGGGGCAATTCATTCGATCATCAACGTTAATCCCTTCCATCAATGGTAGGTGAGTTGGGGGTATATTTTCTTTAACCAAATTTTTCTGTAAATTCTGAAAAATTTCGGAATTTGGATCATTACATATGTTAGTGCGTAGAGGTTGAGATGAAGTAGCGAAGGCCTTAACCTTGGACCAAATCTGTTTGGAACCCATTGAAGGTTCAACCGAATTGCAGAAATTTTCAAAGGAAACCTTTTTTTTGTTTCTAAGAAACCATTTAACCTCATTATCTGTCTCATCAAACTTAGATCTAGTTGAAGGTATTTGAGTTCTTAAAAACTCCTTCCTAGCCAATCTTCGTCGATTTAGAGCCTCCTCACAATCCTGATCCCACCATAGGGGTTTGGCTTTTCTTTTACCCGGGAGGTCAGTGGGATAGAAAGCCCCGGCAGATTGAAGTTCTTCTTTTATGGTGATTAGAAATTCTTCATACACTTCTGTTAGCAAATCATTCGATTCAATTCGTCGATATAGAGGATCTAGACGAGAATCTAATTGTACCGAAAACCCAGACCAGTCAACCTTTTTGGTATTCAATCGCTTGACTGATGCTTTCTGAAACTTAGCAGTTGCATCTGTGCAGGCAATAACCAAAAAGTGATCTGAGGAAAAGGTGTCTATTGTAACCTCAACAGTTGTTATGTTGCTCAAAGAGTCCGAGACAAATATTAAATCGATATTGCCTCCCGTTCTACCATTTCTATTCACGAACGTAGGTTCGCAGTCGTTGATAGGAATCATATCTGATTCCTCAATTACATCAGACAGGTGGTTGCCTCTGGTATTACAGAAACTAGATCCCCACATCAATGAATGGGCATTAAAGTCTCCCAGAAAAACGAGAGGATCATCCGGGGAACAACAGTCGATCAACCGTTTCCAAATTAGAGGGGGAATTTTCGTTGAGGGTGGAGCATAGGTCGAAAGAAATTGGATTTTCCAAGATTGGTAGAGATGGAAATGCCAACCGCGTCAACAAATGACCGGATAGAGACGGGAACCTGAAAGGGACAAACTGTGAGGTTTCTCTTAACTAGGAGTAGAGTACCACCTCCATGTTGTGCATTAGATCGATCGCATCTATAGGTCAAATAACCAGGCAACTGCCAGGTACTAGTTGCAGGAGTCAACCAGGTTTCGGTTATCGATAGCACATCAAGATCGTATATGTGTAATAATGACTCAACTTCAGCACGTTTATTGATAACGCTGTGGGCATTCCATGTGCCATACTTAATATATTTAGTGTTGAGAGACATCTTGTGATCAACAACTAAATCAATCAATGAGAAGAACAAAAAAGAACAAAAAAAAAAAAAAAAATAAAAACTAAAATGGCAAAAAAAAGAACAAAACAAAACACGTAACTCAAGCAAAGAACAAAAAAAAAAAAAAAAATAGTACTACAAAATTATTTAATTATTTAATTATTTGTGTTGAGAACGAGTGACTTGAAGACGTCATGAGCAGTCGGTCTCAAGAATAAATTCATATAGAGTATTAAAATTAGCTTAAAGCCGAAAAAATAAAATTTAACTAACTTAATCTAAAGAATCAAGATGATAAGAATGTGATCGTTTTACTTTCTGAGAAAAGCAAAAGATGCTCCGTGGGTCTCCTTTAGCGGAGAGATCAAGTTCTCTTGCAAAGAGTCTATTAAGGCTGAACGTGAATCATTGAGATCAATCAATGAGTTAACAGCTTGAAGTTTTTCGTCAATTTTATATGCACTCATATCCTTAGAGATTTGGATGACTTGATCTTGATCTGTGTTAGTCACTTCATCAATTTGGAAGTTTTTCGAGAATGTGGGTTTGGGAACATCAATATTCAAATTAGCAGGTAAATCATTTGAGGAATTTGAGAAAGATTCCTCTCTCGCTGTTACTCTGTTGGTCAGATCTGGGTTCTCAGAGAAGAACAATAACTTAGCTTCATCCCTATTGCAGTTAGTACTGTATCTATGTTTGAGAATACCAAATTCAAATTTATAGACAGGGCATTCGGAAGAGGAAGCTAGATGAAGACCTTTGCAATTCTTGCATTTCGGTGGGAGATGACCGTTTGGACAAAATCTAGTCAAGTGTCTACCAGCACAAAATTCACAGCTAGGGTAAGTTGACCTACATTGATTCATATCATGACAAAATCGCTGACAACGGAAGCATCGGCGAGGGTGTTGAATTGAAGGGGTGATTTGAATCATAAATTCCCCCAATTGGATATATCGTGGGACTGTAGGAGATTCGAAAGTGAATTCAATTTTGTCCTGGATAGTATTATCCTCATTTACTAATCTTCTAATACTTGCAATGCTCTCCAAGTCCTTTGAGGAGCACACTCTAACTATGTCCTTGACAGATCTGTCCCAAGGGAACCAGGTGGTAAATCCCTTTTTTCGTAGGAAGGAGTCAGGGATTATTGCTCTATATCCAGCAGTAACAAGATCACGCGATTGGGCAAGGTCGTTGGCACTCTGCCAAAAGTCGCATACCACCTTGACTTGATTTTGGCCATTTCTAGTAATGAGTTTTTTACCGTGAATTAGGGGGGTAAGAAGGTCAATAACACAAATTGGATCTAATTTACCTATATTTCTGCCCCTAATAGTACTTTCAACCAGAACTACAAAGGGGGCTGGACTATTGGAAGTGTATAGAGATGGTACAGATTCATTGTACCATTCGAGGTCATTTTTGTCCCATAAGGTAGCCTCTTCATTGATCTTGGGAACTGCATCAATGTTATGTTTATCAATTTGAATCACTGATTCGAGTTGGAGAGAAAGAAGAGAATCGTTATCCACCAAAGTAGTCTTTTTTGGAGCGTGGAAAAAGGAACCGTTAGAAGAAGAATCAGAACCGGGTGAATTTCTCAGTCTTTTACCACTTGGATTTACCGAGGATTGGGGTGTGGAAGTGTCTTGTTGAGGTAATAACTGTGGGTTGCCACCGGTAGAAAGATCAAAATTTAAATTAAAAGCCGATTCATTAGGTAGACCATGGGTCCGGTCATCAGCTGCTGACTGAACTCTTTCTCGTTGAGACAAATCAGTATCACCTCTCGTCAAGTGACTAGGCCGAGTTGGATCCCGCATCACTTCTCCGTTCACCAAAACACATTCCTCCTGGTTGTCCATATTTATTAGTTAGACGGAAATCTAAAAATAATTTATTAACTTTAATATTTTCATAAGATTAATATTTCTTAATATAAATTTAGTAAACTATATACAGATCCAACAATAATTAGTTAAATCAACCAATTCAAATAATAATAGTATGATTTGAAGCCGAAGACCGACCGCTCATCGATTTAAGCGTGAACTTTAGGCATAATATGTAATAATCCAAAAATCAACTCACACCACAAAATAGAAACGTTAAGATTAAGCAACTGAATTAAAATAACATAAGCCAACTAGAGAACAAAGTGACTGTGCATTTGCATAACTATTGCTGATAATAAAATAATTAATTCATAAAAAAAAGCGATAATGCGTTTGGTGAGAAAAAGAAAGAGTGAGAAAACAAATTCAAAACTTACTTGCATAGAGTGTTAACCGTAGAAAATTTATGTATATAGCAATTAAAGCAAAATGTAAAATTTTTTCTTTTTTTTTTTTCTTTTCTTTTTTCTTTTTTTCCTTTTTTTTTTTTTTTTTTTTTTTTTTTTTTTTTTTTTTTTTTTTAAAGCAATATGACTAAATCAAGCATGTGTGGATGCAGAATTAAGAAAGGGAAAGGTATGAGAATTGTAGGTTTAAATAATGGAAAGGCAACAAAATTCAGCAAAAATTCCAAAGCAAGCAACTAGGTCCAGAATTATCCAAAGCAATATAGAGCGTAAATCTAATAAGTCTGTACCATGAATATCCATTAAATGCACAAGTAATGTAAGTTGTTGTAGATAGACGTTATGGGGTTATGTTGCCTCGTGTTTTGTAGAGAGGTATTCCTTTTTGTCTATAATTTTGTAGAAAATACATCACTTCCCCATTAGTATAGAAATCTTAGATTCTCTTTTTCAATAATTATAAGGATAATAGAATCCTCTTCAAATCGATGCGTATGGATTTAATTTATATTAAGCAGTAATGATTGTGAGGTTAGGATGACGTATAGCCTCGTGGTTAATAGTAGCCTAAGTTCGTTATTTAATCAGTTGAACAATTCGCACAAAATAACACTTTAAAAATTGGATGAAGTTAATTCTTCATCTTAATTAAATTAAATAAACACTTAATTTTTGAATAACACTAAAGTGAGATGAAATAGGTGGACGGAGACGGAGACGCTAGCGTCTATTCACTACCACCGACATTTTCGAACTCCATCCGGACAATTGATCAGGATCTCATATAACTTGTTTCTATATAGAGGAAAATTTGTTTTCACCATTTTTAAAAATTTTATAAACGAAAGGACTACATAGCTGTCTCCACGAGGAAGCAAAAATTTGTGGTAAAAAAAAATATTACCATTAAAAAATAATTTTTTTGTTAAATATTCGTAGTAAAAAAAAATTTTTCAAGACAATTATTTGTGGCCTAAAAAAATATCACGATGAGAATATAATTAACAAAAAAACTTACTCGTCAAGCGAGGTTCAGTCAAGGTTCAGGGAAGTTTCGGTGCTGTCCGGGGAGAATCACCCATTATAGCATGTAAATCTTAGGTTATTTCATCACTACAGGTTTAATTTTGTACAAATTATCATTTTTCGAATTAAAATTAGAAGAAATTTCATATTAAATGAATATCTATTTTTTACAGATTTTTTACACTGTGAGAGAAATGCGACCAAGTTAATACAACCAGAAAAGAGTATAGTTATAATATAGAGGTCCTGGTTACAGTAACTATAGAAATTTTGATTGTACAATTCAGAGTTTTCGAATCTTAAAATAGTTTAAATCTCTAATTTAACATTAAATTTACTTTTTTTCTGTTCAAGTAAAATTCAAGTAAGTAACTTCCTTGTACAAAATTTATTTTGTTCAATTTTCCACTTAAAAATAAACATTTGATGAAATTTAAATTGTTAAGAATGACTAACATGACAACCGAAAATTGTCGTTGACGTGCGATTAAATGCGAAGATTTGAATTAAGAAATTTATATATGAAAAGAACGAACATCGTCAGTACTCGACACGATGAGGGCGAATAATAAAGACTATATAGACGACGATACATTATTAAATTATGTTAAATATAAATAAAATCATGTGGAGTGATTATTTGTAAATTATTTGAATGTTCTTTTTTTTAATCATAAATTATATAATAAAATGAATAACAATCTTAGAATAAATAAATGTGAATAGTTAGTGAATTGTTGTAAACTTTATTTTTTCCTAGAAGCCACACAATTAAAAACAGTAAAATTATTAGGCTTGATTGTGTAGAAACACATAAATAATAAAAATAATATTTATTAGAATTTTAAAAAATACACTGAACTAATGTATAATTACTCTATGATTATACTTAATAACATTAAATACATACGGGAATATCAAATAAGTTATATTAGTTTTCTATAATCTAATTTTTAAAATTCGGTGAAAATTTCGTAACAAACAAGTTCACTGGAACTATTTAATTTTTTAAGTTTATATACTGATAGTGGAAGAACAAATACGTGATAAATATAATAAAAATATAATAAAAATAATAAACAAAATAAGTGATAAACCCTGGCGATTACGAAATAATTTAACGACAACCTTGTTTGATTGACATTATATAGACATTATAAAGTAATTCACTAAAAAAGTGATTAATCGATAGAAAATAATGAAAAAATTGGTTTGGAAAAGGGTAAATGGTTATTTGTAGAGTTTATTCGAAAAAGAATTGCAATAAATAAAGCAGTAATCAAAAACTTTTTATTTTGAAGAATGAAAAAAAAACGAAAAAAGAAAAATAACATTTTAAACATATTATTTAAAAAAAAATGATCATCAGCTCCACTTTAAAACTTTTTTGCAAAATCTGCTTAGTTTCTTTAGATATGTAAAAATAAAAAAAACATGTAATAGAAGTCGTTACTCTGATGTACATAATAGAAAGTTTGCATCCATTTATCACTGCAAAATAAAAAAATAATTTCCTTTTTATTTTTCAGGTTTTAATACAGATTTTTTAATAAAAATTTTTTAACCGCAGGGAAGAAAATATCCTTGTTCAAGAAACGTTCCTTAAACATATTTTAGAACGTTTCATGTCTCCCAAAATAACGTGTTAAGAACGTCTTATATTATTAACATGTTTTTGAAACGTAAAAGGTTGACACTCTCCTTCTATACAGTACTGAAAAATAAAATTGTAAACAATCAATTAATAAATTATTAGACATATTATGGGTTGAGTCCCTTTATTTTTGCCTAAATCTCAAAAGATCGAATTCTTATAAATTTTAATTTCTGATTGAATTTTCATGTATGTTCCAATTAGCAAAAGTTCCCATTTCTTAAGGTCATGTGAATATTGTGATTTCACATGTAAATATTCTCCGCAAATTTTCTCGCAAAATATTTGATAGATTGAGGTAAAATTTTGTGGAGAAATAAAAAATAACATAAGAATTCGTTGTCATATCAAAATCGTATTGCCGACATATTTAATTTGTTAAGAATAAATTTTTGACGTGACAACGTCTTACTCCGAGGTCTATAAAGAACCAATCAGAAAAATTGGCGTTCATATCGCCGGCCAGAACTCGAAAACTATATGTCATATTTTCAAGATATTTGGGTTATTCGATTACTTTCGATCTAATCTCGATGCCAAACTTATTTTTGTCAAATTTGGAAATGAAATTTTTTATAGTTTTCTATGTTACCGACAGGATAAAAATTTAACATGTTAGTATACAGCGCCACTGTTGTTAGTATCCACTATACCTATATATATGTATAATTTTTAAAATAAACATGGCTGCCGAAGCTGTCACTTTGTTTTGTTTTCGTATCGTTATTCGAGGAAAAAAATATAGAGCGACCGTGTAGTGAATAATAATAATATCAAAACATAACCTCAATCATGGATGTATTCTGTTCAAGAATTAAATTGTTATAATTAACTGGTCCACCACAATTCTTGAACAGAGTAAATTCATAATTGAGGTTAAGTTTTTATATTATTCCAGTGCAAAATTTTAGCAATTGGTAATAAGTGGCATTACGTTTTGAATATTTTTAAATTTAATTGTTTGGAAATTATAGTCAGTTTATTCTAATTTTATGCACTGAAAAAAAAAATTATTTGATTCAAATAATCGGTTACTTGATTATTATGAAATAAATATTTATTTGTATCAAATAATTATTCTTTGAGTCAATGAAATGGTATTTGTTTCAAATACAAAAATTATTGGTTCAAGTACAATTTATTTAATTCAAATAAAAATTATTTGGTTCAAGTAAATATTTATTTGATAATAATCAAGCAACCCATTATTTGAATCAAATAAATTTTTTTTCAGTGTGTTTATGTACAAAATAAATACTAAATAATAATCTTATAAAATATATTTTAATTAATTAAAAAAGACGTTGTCACGATCAAAATTCTTTTTGATATAAAATATTAATATAATCTGGCAGATATGATAAGAAATCCTTATGCTATTTTTGTGTTCTTTACAAAATTTTAGCTCAATTACATATGTGAAATCACAACAATCAAACCTTAAATTTTAAAGTAACCAAAAGATGGAATTTTTAAAAGTTTGAATTACCTAATGTTCGAATTATCAAAACATCGAAAAATTTTACTCATATGTGACATTACTTTCTATGTTTTATATCTCGATATAACCATAGAGAGATGTTTTGATAATTTGAAATTTTGAAAATTCGATTTTCTGATAATTTTAACTTTTAATAACAATTCGAATTTTTGATCATTTGTAATTAGAAATATTTGAAATTCGTACTTTTATCATTTCGATAAATTGGTTATTTTCTACTTTATGGAATTCGATGGTTAGAGATTTATGCTAAAATAAGGTGAGACTCATAAACATTTCGATATCAAATGCAATAGTGTAAAACATTATTGTCGTCAGGGAAATTTATAAAATAAAAATTTTATAAAAACATTCTAGTTATGATGTATGTATTAAAGAAGAGATTTAATTTTGTATTTATTACCTTGCCAATACCACAATAACTTCCCTCCGCCGGAGGTGAATTGAATGTATATTCCTTAACAGTTCCATCTTTAAGTGTTGCGATACATTTTAGTTTTACACAAGTTGTCTTTTTCTACGAAATCACATTAATAATAAAATAGAATCATTGATAGATGAAATTATACAAAGTTTTTTATTAAAGTTAAAGAAACTTACATAATAACATGAATGGAATCCCATATTTTTGCATTGTTCATCTAAAGACATTATTTGACCGGGTAATAATCTCTGTAGTGGATAGTTATTTTTATAATTTGCCGGATTATTTCGAAGGCATGAGGATGATTTTTGACTGCAGAAAAATATAATTTATTACATTCACAGTATTCTATGAATTTAAATCAGTGTAATTTCACTGATGAAATAACTGCAATTTAACAACTGAATCACTGAATCACTTCAGTAACATTTTCAAAAAATTTTTAAATTTTACTTTAAAATTATCAAAGATAAATTTTAAATTAATTTAAATAAAAATTTGTGAATCAATTGAAATTGTAAGTCATTGTAAAACACGGTAGGCTAAAAGCAACTTTAGGTTGCATGAAAATGACGATTGCACTTATTAATAAAAATCTACTCATATTGTCATATTGTATGTGAATAACCGACACACGAAACGTTATTACTTTCGCAGACCTTTTTGGTCTGATATAGTCCAACTGATACAGTAATCAATTACCGTTATAAATTTTGAATTGTCATTGTTACCAACGCTTTTAGACAATTTTTGACAGATTGTACTACAAATTTCCAGTTATCCAATAAAATTTGGATGTAAGATTAAACTAGTCTTCTCTGGATAGCAAGAGAAAATTTATATTTACATTAGAATATGGATTCTATACAATCACAAAATCTTTAATTTCTAAGCTTGATCGTAAATGCATTCACGAGGAAAATAGAATTAAAGTATGTGCTAAATTTGTCACCTTACTAATGCTAAAAAAATGCTTATTACGCGATTTAAAAATGAAAAATGTCAATATTTTCCAAAAAAGGATCAGCTAGGATTTCGGTTCAAGCATTTTTTTTTATGTATGATCAACTCTGAAAGCAGTTGCGTTTCCACTTATTTTTTTGTCATTTTTATGCAACCTAAAGTTGCTCCAAGCCTACTGTGAAAAATAGTAATTAAGTTACAATTTACTTGCAGAAAAAAAAGTAAATATGTAAGTTATAGAAAGATTTTTTTCTGCTTGAGTATAACAATAATTTTA